AACATGAAGCCATCTTTGGGCTCTTCTCCTTCTTGCAGCACTCCCACTTTCTGGATTTTCTTCACCATGAATCCGAGCCTTAACGTCGCATGCTCTTTGAGCTTAGCAAGACTACAAGAGAAGTTGCGCAATCCAGGAGTCAAAGGAGAAATACAGCTCACAGTAACATACGCACCGTGCGATCTCTTAAACCCTTGAACCACGATCAAATCACCATCCTTCTCTTCTTGAAAAACAGTCACGTTCTCTTTCTTCTTGAGGTCAATGCCAAAGATCAAAGATTGGTTCAACGCAAAGGGAATGAGGTAGTCCTCGTCTCGAGAGTGCGAAGAACGAGCATGGCTTTTGAGATCGGTGTAAGAGCCGATGTAGTTGCAGTTTGGTAATGGGCAAGAGCATGGGATGTAAGCGCAGAGCTTCTCGTGGCTGCTTGATTGGTATCCGTATGTGGTTGTTTCTTTGCATCTGTGAACAGAGTTTCGACATGGGACTATGGATGCTTCGATGATCTTCTCCATTGCTCTGTTTCGAATGTCACCGATGTGAGATCTACAGAACGGGCATCGATTGTTCAGTTTGTTGACGCATGGTGAACAAGCTAGATGTCCATTGGTACACTGTAAAAGGTGTAGGAACGCAATTCTACAATAGGGCGACTGATTAATGTTACTGAGAATTTACTGCTACAATAACCCCTACGTTTTTCTCGGTGACTTTTACATACACATTCTTGGTTATTGTCTTGGAAGAAAAAAATAAATTAAGCATATTACATAAGTTTTCAAATTAAATAAAAAAGATAAAAAAAGAAGAGAGTGAATGTCTAAAAGGCTTATACGTCTCTCCCCAAACATACTCTCTTAACAGTATAAGAGACCCAAAATACATGTGTCATCATATGTGTGGGTTATAAATCTATATATTTAAATTTAATTAAAATTTTAAATTAAATTAATATAATAATTTTATGATACTCTATTTATGGGTCTCACCAATGGACATGCTCTAAGTGCACAGGCATTGCAGAGCCCCATATGGAGCTCTACATATATTTTAAGATTAAAAATAATATTAATTTAATTAAAGAGCTTCGTACAGATTTTCATAATTTGGAGGCCTACATTGCAGAGAGACTATATGGAGTTCTTAAAACTTCAAAATATTTTTTTACAATTTATTGTTCTAAAATTATAGAAACCAAACGATTCTCTAAATATGTCATCCGCTGGAACTCAAGCCTCCATGAATGTCTAAAGTTGTTGAGATAGTTCTGTGTTGCAGTGAAGTGTGAGCTGCTACGTAACTTAGCACAATGTCACAAGTCCCTGAAATCATATGCAAAATAGGAAAGGGTTTAAGATTCTGCGATTAGAAAGATGTGCGTGATGAGTAGTTGTAGCAAGAAAATGTGAAACTGCCTCATCCACTTACGAAGACCTTTTTTAAGATCATGGTTAAAGCAAATAAGAAAAACCAGAAGCAGGAAACTACTGTATTTGATAGTTTGCCATATCAACAGACACTAAATCATACCTGAAGTATTGGCATGACATTCACCTCTCTAGAAAGGGAGAAAAAATGCCTAGAAAAAGGAAAAAGGTCACACACCAATACAAAGAAAGTTGTTGATAGAAACGACTTGATAACAAACAACGAAACCACCAGGGCTGCAGTTGTCACTGAGATTCTAGCAACTGGTCTAGGCACAGAAACATTGACGCAAAAGGATTGAAAAGATAAAGATAACCAAAGTGTGAGTGTGTGAGTAGAAACCATTTATGAGTTTGATAAGTAAAGACGAGAGACAGAGAGAGCTCACAGGTAAAAGTTTGGTTCCAGCTTCGATTCCATCTTTCCCAATATTCCAAGCGGGTGTAAGAACTGTTCAGGAAAATGACAGAAACCATTTTCATTAAGAGTTAAGAATTTCAGATTGTGATAGGTGAGCCAGTAACAGCCATGAAAGAAGAAGAAGAAGAAGAAGAAAGACAGAGAGAGGTGAGGAGATATTTATGAGCGAGAGATGGAGAGATTGGAAGCGTTTTCGGTTACTTAAATGGGCTAACTCTAGCTCGCGATTGCTCAGATGGACTAACGCTAGCTAAACAATTATGATCAATCTCTACATGAATCAAATCAAATCCAGAGACACTACTTGAATCAAATCCAGAATTTCAACTACTAACTATGAAATCAAATCAAATAGATACTACTAGAAGCGATGAAATCATGGAAATTAAAAGCACCACCTAACCTCATGCATGTAAACTCCGGGGCTCTTGAACATCGATCTCGATTATCTATTCTAAATCCTCTCCAAATCGATTCGGCCATGAAACCAGAGTCTTTTTTATCTCTTTCTCTATCTTTGTGTGTTCGAAAAAAGTAGAAGAAGAGGAAGAACACCCTTGTCTCTGGAGCAGAGCTAACGTGTCGCCGGAACGGAGATGGTGTTTCGCCGGCTAAGAGAAGAGACGAAGAGAGAAGAGACGAAGTGCCAAGGGAAAATTTCGTCGCGGAAAAAAAAGAAAGAGAGAAAAATAAAAAAAACATCACCCATTCGCTTCTGGACACGTGTCCAGAACAATGCGGAACCAAAGAAAAAACAAGTATTGCTACCATTTTTTGGTCACAATATCATAATATTTCGTCACAAAAACATTATTGTGACAAATTGATACGAATTACAAAACGTAGCAATGAATTCGTCACAACTCATTTTTAGTCTCAAAAACGTCACAAATGTTTGTTACGATTGACAATGGTAACAATTCGTCATAAATTGTGATACAATTTAACAGTTACAGAAATGACACAATTGGTGACAAATTTTGTCACAAACAAGCCACAAATTCTGACAAAAAAAAGGTAGCATGCTGGCCACGAATTATTACCATATTTTAGTCAATAAAGTGTAACAAAAATGAGACCAGGAAAATGTTACAAATATGTCACAATTAGTGACTAAATTATAGTCATAGAATAGTCACTATTTGTTTTTAATTGTTACCCTTTTTCTTACTAGATGTGTAACAAATTGTGACGAACTATTACTTAATTGTCACCAATAAATATTCATCATTTTTAATTATAAAACAAAAGATAAAAGTTAAAATTATAAAAAAAACAATAATAAAATAGAAAATACTTAATTACTTAAAAATACAAAATATTTCAAAACAAAGAAAACTTACGAAAACAAATCCTAATAACATAACTTAAAAGAAATCCTAATATCATAACTTAAAAGGAAATCCTATATCATAACATAACAAAACAAAGAAACACAAACTTAAACACAATCCTAAGCGAGCCTTATGGAAACGTGAATGGTTTTGATGATGGAATTGGAATTAGGCATTTTGTCTTTCCAAACTCTCAAGTTTCTTCTCCAAAGCTTCAAGTCTCCTCTGAATTTGCAGATTCTCTTCACGGCTTTCTTTCAGCTCTGTTTCCATCTCTTGCATCCTTTGTGGACACATCTCTGGTTCTTCAAGTTGTGGTGCACTCGAAGAAGCTTCGCCAGCTAGTAAAACCTCACTACGTAGTGCTCCAAGTCCAAAGATGCCTTGGTTAGATACACCAGTAGCAGCCTAGAAGAAAAAAACCACAAATATATCGAAGTCAATCAACTAGCTACACAAGTCCAAAGTCTCTTTCACTACCATGACAATAAAAACGACCAAACAAGCAACAGATTTCTAAAATGCAGCATAAGCAAATGAAGAATACTCAAAGAAATACAGAAATACTTTCAGCTAATGAAATGTAATTAACGAGTAAATGAAAAGCAATCATTGGGTTTTGCATAAGAGTAATGAAGCCATAGATTGTTGGCTTCGACAGATTCATAAAATCCAACTGAGATTTCAATTAAGGATCAGTTTCAAAGCTTTACCTTGACATAAATTTCATTTTTTTCACGTAGGCCCAGATTTTCAGCGGTCCTCTGTTCCCCAGCAATTTCGAGCTGTCCCAAGTGTTCTTCTAGATGCTTCTCGTAAGCTTCTGCAACTAAACGTGCTCTTTGATCAGAGTACGTTCCATCTGCCTTCTGGTGTGTTTTCTTCATCACGGCAAAGAAACAGAAGTCCTCATTGTTTGCTTCCTGCAAACGAAACAGTAAAACAGAGTGAAATAATAAAAGCAATCACGATTAAAAACAATAAAGAAACCAATATTTATTTAAGCATTACCAAAACATCTTGAACTTTAGCAAAAGAACGAGATCCTGCTACGTGGGAATATGGACCTATACCACCGCGATCAGACATTCGTGAAGCTCGAGCTTTCGCACTCTTTTCTATCGCTTTAGCTGTTGCCCAATGAGCTTCCATAATGGCCCAAACATCAGACATGATCCAATCTGGTTTTTCCCCTGTTTTCTGAGCGTCCTTCTTTGCAGCGCTTATCATTCCTTTGAGGCGATAAGCAGCAAGCTTATCAAACTCTCCTTTAACTTGATGGTTGATAGCTGGATTCCAGTTGAACTTTTTCTGAAAACAAGGACAATATTTACTAGATTAAAAGCATAACTTATGACAAACTCAGAGTTGATATTAAGCAAAACGACGAGTACCTTGAAAAGAGAAAACCAAGTTCCTTTGTAGAAAGGAGGAACTTTTTTCCAAGAGTAATATGGGCCTTTGAAACAGCTCTGAATGACCTTTCTGACAGCGGTGGATACTTGAGTGTCGTGGTTGAACCTATTACATTGTAATAGATTAGTTGATGTGTTATAAATCTAAGAACAAATTCAATGGTTTTTAGAAAGAGATTACGTACCATTTGGCTCCATTTTCCCGAGAAGGATGCAGCATAGGTAAAACTGAACGATCCACAACTGCCTCTTCCATCTCTTCACAATACACACAAGAAAAGTCATAAGTTATCAATCTCCAAATCTGTCAAATGAAAACTTACAATTCTTACAAAAGCTAATGATTTTGTAATCTGTAGTCCTAGGTTCTCAGCCAAATATTAAAGTAACAAACCACCAATCAAAGACTCCGAGTAGTGAAAAAAAGAAAGCTTTGACCACAGACAATTGCGGATAGAAACTTTAATGAAGAAGACAAAACGAAATCCAGGAGTAAACACCAATCAATGATCAATAGGAAGGTGATCACAATGCAAACTGGAAAACCTCTAAATTAACGTAGAGATCAGTTTCTAAGAATCCAGGAGTTGTAAAAATTACCTTCAGTTAGATCTCTGAACTGGAATACAAACTAGTTTCTGATATTTTGCGATGCACTAATAAAAAGGAAGTGATGGAACGGTTATATATATGAGGCGGCCTGAGATGGTTAATAAGTTTCACACGTTTTTGTGTCTCTCAATTAGTGGGGGAAATTTTCCCAAAATTTTGGCGGTCAAATGAAAATTTAACCGGACTCTGATTTTAGCATCGTGGTCAATTTCAATCCTAAGCCTAAAGTTATTACGAGGAAACAATCTACAAATCCAACAATTCTTTTCAATTAATGGTTAGTATACTACAATATGTTTAGATATG